AAGTCGAGCAAGGATTGTAGAACTGTACATATTTGAACGGACATGTTTGAGCTATTGCTTGGTGTTGATGTTGTCGTATTGTTAGCATCGCAGAGCAAGATGCACCAAGTACCAATGTGTTGAACGGTTAAGAGGGTTAGGGAGAGGCGTGGATGGGTCGGTGGAGAGTGCCCACTACTAATATGAAGACACAGATTATATTAGATGACTACTAGCTGAGATAATAAGGATAAGATCTTATTCAATTATTTGAACTTGTATCTTGTATCGCTTTACGCTACACTGCTGGGGACCTAAGCTTCAATAGGGTAATTGTACTGAACTGAGATAATCGAGACTGGGTATTCTCTGTATTTATTTGTAGGTAAATCGGGAAAGGCAGTTGCATGCTGGTAATTGTGATCTAGGAGAACATAGTGAAACGTGGTATTCTTCTTGTGATGTCTGGTTATAAATTCATAGAAGACAGCTTTCTCAACATTGTTGAAATGTTAAAGAACTGGTCTCGATTGAGCCCCCTATAGAAGTGTCCCTAAACTCTGCTAGAACATTCGTCCATCTGCTATACTTTTGAACACCCTGGATGACCTAGGCTATGTCCAGGCTTCCAACACTGACAAGGCAGCTACAATGTTCCCACCTACAGAAGATGCTTTCAAGCAACACCTGTTGAGAGCCATGTTTAGACGACAATATGGCTGCCGATACATCCTTCATCTCATCTGCAGTGACAAGATCACGTGTCGCCTCCAGAAAGTGTCCTTGTCTGCCTAGACTGCCACGTACCGAACACTGCACCTGCCCGGGCTGCCAAAACTCTGCACATGATGGTGAACCTGAAGGCTTGAGTGACAGTGGCAGTGACAGTGGCAGTGACTAAATGCATCTTACTGTAATGGAGAAAAATAATGGATTTGTTAATGAGTTACTGACAATAATGAAGCAACTGCAAATAAGCGCTTCACATTGACACTTCAAAACGGTCCTACTAAATAACGCCAGGCAGCTTCCGTGAGAAAGATTCTAAATAATAAAATGTGTTCTATATAATTGTGTTCGTGTAATAAATATAATAAAGGGCCGTTTATGAGGGTGCCAACCCCCTCCTCCCTTGAATCACGGATACCGTCTAACACAAATCTCAAAAGCATTGAAAAAAGGGGTGCGATCTGAAGTTTAATTACTACTGAAACCAATATCGAAAAAATAACACATAGCAAGAATATATTTTACATATACCACTATTCTTTTTACATGTTGAATCTGAGAACCAAATACGATTTCATTTTATTCGAACTGACGCGGAGGTCGTAACTTAGTCTTTGAAGGATACAATGTAAATTTGCTTATGGAACAAAAATAATGTCCATTTATAGTGTCATATTCTGTATACTATTTCATAAATAATATTGAAAGACAGACATTATCAAAAGTTCATATGATACGAAATAATCAAATGTATTTTATATAACTGTGTCTTCTGAGAATTGGTCTTCAGCAACCCATGCTTGCGGTAAGATGCGACTAACGGGATCGGGTGTTCAAGCTCGCTGACTTGGTTGATGTATGTCATCGTATCTCAATTTCGTAGATTGATGTTCATGATGTCAATCACTGGATTGTCTGTTCCAGACTCGATTTTTTTCAGACCGCCTTCATACAGTTGGAATATTGCTGAGTGCGGCGATAAACAACAAACAAAACTTAACAAACGACCCGTGAAGATCCGGGTTAGAATAATCTTCAGCAACCCATGCTTGGTTGATTGTCTAATGTTATTGTTATTGTCTGGTCCAGACTCGATTATTTACAGACCGCCGTCATATAGCTGGAATATTGCTGAGTGTGGCGTTAAACAACAAACATTTTTTTAAACAAACTTGTCTGCAATTACCATAAGGTCCGTTTTGTTGGATTAAAAAAATGGCCTATTAAATATTTCTTACCTTGTAACTTGTGCTTCTTTTCAAAGTAAGTCAATATGATCATCAATTATAGTATATAGCATCAGCGATAATTATCTTATATATGACAATAACACGATAGATGGAGTTCCTGGTTGAAACTTAAATTGTAGTTTTTATATTTTTAAGAAGTGAAGACGAAATATTGTCATTTTCCAGTATTACTGTAAATTTCTCAAGCTCATAAATGTAAGATACTTAAACGATCCAATGTGTTCAAATAAAACAATTTAGTGTTCAAGTGCTGTCAAAGTAACAGGGTGGGGTGGGTGGGATCACATTTACTAAATTTACGCATTTACAGGGTGGGGTGGGCGGGTTATCACATTTACTAAATTTACACATTTACTTAATTTTGACACATGAATATGCATTTTACCACCAAAAAACATGTCTGCCACCAAACCAAATCACCACAACCAGCATTTTCTAATGCATAAATGACATCTTGAGAAGAAAAGTGTGGTCGTGCTTTGTTCTACTGTGGGGAGTGGTTACTCCTTAAATAAGCCTCCTTTAGAGGGTTTGCCGCTATTCCATATAGTCAGTGATGAAAACTACCCGTTACTAAACCATTATGACGTCACGCTATTGTTGTTGCTGTTGATTCTGAGCCAGGTATTCACTGTCCATTCTAAAGTGTATTCAAGCACATAACGTACAACTTTTGTTAAATAACAAAATCTATATACCCTGTCATAACAATGAGTTACCAGTCAGTAGTCAATATTGTTCAACAGGTTCTTACCCGTGAAGATCCCAGTAAGAAAAGGTCTTAAGCAATCCATGCTTGCCATAAAAAGCGACTATACCTGTCATAGGAGGCGACCCAATACCGATATTGGTATATGGCCTCTGGGCCAACTAAACAGAGTCTGGATCCGTAACTTGCTTGATTGCATTTCCATTCAAGTAGCATTCACCACTGTCTTGCCCTTTGGCCCGGTTATTTTCTGGCGTTGACGTTATATGTTTTGTGACAAGATATGGTTGATCATTGGCTTCAGTTACTGTCGGATCCAGATCGCCTTATTTAAGGCCATCGTGATACATCTGGAAAATTGCAGACTGTGGCGCTAAACAACACCCAATGAATGTTCAATTGTACCCTAGGTCATGAGGTCAAACTACTGAATAAATCCAAGGATGACCATCATCATACCCTAAAGATAATACGGCTCACTGAAGGGGGCACTGATACATCCACAGTATCTAACATAATGGTCCTACTATTTAACGTCCGGAAACGTCCGGGAGGTTTCATCAGACGTCCGGAAACGTCCGGAAACGTCCGGGAGGTTTCATCAGAGGTCCGGGAATTCAAAAATACAGTGCAGTCAATAAAACAGTCTTTCTCAGTTTGGTAAGATCGTGAGAATATCAACTGGCGTACAAATAAATAGAATAAAAAAAATGAAAAAAAATGAGTACAAGTAACAGGGTAAAAAATATTTAATAGGCGGTAAAGGTTTTGTTCTTTATCAAACAAGGCGGACGTAAAAGTAAAAACAGACAATGTAAAAAAATGTTTGTTTGTTGTTTAACGCCACACTCAGCAATATTCCAGCTATATGACGGCGGTCTGTAAATAATCGAGTCTGGACCAGACAATCCAGTGATTGACATCATGAGCATCGATCCACGCAATTGGGATACGATGACATGCATCAAAACCAAGTCAGCGAGCCTGACCACCCGATCCTGTTAGTCGACTCTTACCACAAGCATAGTCGCCTCCTACGGCAAGCATGGGTTGTTGAAGACCAATTCTAACCCGCGTACTTATTTACAATACATAAGATGTTTAATAAATAAAAACCAATGTTCATCATATCTATCTATCCTACTTTCCTACAGTACATGAATTATTTTGTTGAAAATACTACTTTCTTAGAAAGTGAACGTCTTTGCTGTTTTAATCCTCTTTCTTTGTTCTGGTTTTCGGGCTGTCTGTGGTGTCTTGGGAATGTTGAGGCGACCATCCGACGAAACAGTAATGCTTTTTTGACATCTGGGGCCACGCAGGAACTTCCGAAAATGTCTGTCTTTCTCCTGTTGGCTTTTTGATGTCCAGCAGGCATTAGACAATTTAAAGCCTGCCATCCACGGTGTCAGTTGATAGTTGCCTTGGCCGTAGAGGGCACGGCGCATGTCAGCATACTGGATTTTTACAATTGTGTGAAGTTTGTTAGTTAAATCCGGGATTTTCAATGATTTCCAATTGGTACTTAATTTGATGATGTTGTTCATGCTCTCACAGGCATTATTAGTCCAATGTAACGGAACTGCTTTTGGTCTTTCTTTTGAAGGCAGGAAAATGTCAGTTTTTATAGTTTTAGTGACTTTAGAAAGGTAGGAATAGGAATCGGGAACAGTTGTTGAAACAATGTCTTCTAGTTCCATTTGATTTAGTTCGAACTGATAGGAGTCATGGCTATTCACCAGTCCGGAGATTCCAAATTTTTTCTGATGAATGAGTCGTATCTGCTGATCTGATGCGCCAGCCTGATGTCGAAGGTGTCTTTTTATATGTGCCGTTCACATAAAATGTGTGTGGAAGCGGGGAAACAGTTTCGGACGGTATTCGTGATTCAAGGGAGGAGGGGATGGGCGCCCTCATTAACGACACTTTATTAAAATTAATACAAGAACACAATTTTAAACTTTATTATTTAGTATCATTCTCCCGGACGCTCTCACCAGATGCTCCCCGACGTTGCCCGGACGCTATAGTACCGGACGTTTTACACTCAGTGAGCCATCTGGGGCCACGCATGAACTTTTGAAAACGTCTGTCTTTCCGTATTAGTTATGGAATAGTATACAGAATATGACACTATAAAAGAACATTATTTTTTGTTCCATAAGCAAATTTAGATTGTATCCTTCAAAGCCCACGTTACGAATACCTCGTCAGTTCGAATAAAATCAAATCGTATTTGCTTTGCAGATTCACCATTTAAAAAGAATAGGGGTGTATGTAATGTTTTTTCCAGCTATATGTTATTTTGTATAATTAATACAAGAACACAATTATAGAGAATACACTTTATTATTTAGTAGCATTCTCCCGGACGCTCCCTGGCATTGCCCGGACGCTTCCGGACGCTCCCGGACGTTTCCGGACGCCCCCGGGCGTTATTTAGTATGACCGAACATAATGGTCCAAATTGTTCAAACGTGTCTTATTGCTTAACAATTCACATTAAATTGAATTGAATGTCGCGAAAGTGGTCAGGTGCATCACACTCATAGTTACCACCATTTATCTGTAGAGGTATTTCGCAAACGGATATAACTCGATTAAATAACATCTGTAATAGATCTATGCATAACTCATATAGAACGCAAAGTGAATGCCTTCGGCGATCTTGTTTCGTTAAAAACGGATTAAACTCGAAAAAATCTGGTTATTGTTTGTGAATGAAAAAAATATTTCCGCAATGGTCTTTCATGTGTGACGTACGGATTGAGTATCTCACAACCTGTCTCTCCCCCACCTCCGTGGGTAATACAACATAAAACGATCTTAGAGTACATACATAGTTAATTTTGAGAATTTTATGGTTAATTGTTCAACTAATTTACAAAGACACTGACATTTTCCTCAAAATCCATGCATTTCTCTACATGTCATCTCATCTCCTTCACATACAAATATTCCCCTGAATCTCATTAGCTGCTTCAATCAGTTTCAAATTTCCGAAATATTGCAGACTCTATTCTGTTGAGGGCAACCGCCTTAATACATCACGATTAGATGGAGCTGCTACATCTAATGCTGACTTCCCAGAGTCGTCAAGCCTTTTCTGGTCTACACCTTTCTCCAACAGATACTCCACAACCTCCCTGTCACCGAACTCCGCAGCGGGGAACAGTGGGGTACGTCCAGTCTTGTCAGCAGCTAGGAAGGGTGCATGTTTTTCTTCAATGAGATAATACAACTTTTCAGCGGCTTCAAGACTGGATCCTGCTGCTGCGTGTACAACTGTTTGTCCCACGTTATCCGTCTTTCTTACATCCCCTCCTTTTTCACACAGGAACTCTACCATTTCCAGGTCCCCGTGTGCCGCAGCTGCGTGAAGGAGACATCTTCCCCTTGATGTCGTATGTATACGCTCTGTTCCTCTGCATAGCACCTTCAGTACTTCCAGATTGTTGACATTGCAAGCATTAAACAAACATGTCTCACCATTGCTATTGGTTCTGTCAATGGACAGTTTACTGGCCAGAAGGATCTTCAGGTTTTCAATTACTAACTTAGGATTACCAGTTTTGACCACTGCGTGTAGATCTTTGTAATGAGAGTTGAAGCAGCCAAGAATATGGGTTCTGGTTGGTTCATGAAAACACAGCTCATATAATGGTATCCCGTTACTGAGTGTTTGACCTGACTGGCATATGACTTGCATACACTCACGACTGTTGGAGAGGGCTGCACAATGCAGGGGTGTAACCTCAGCCTCATTCAAACATGTAACATCTGCACCATTATCTAATAGTTCCAACACACAATCAACATTTCCCCTTAAGGCTGCAAAATGGAGGGGAGTGTTATTTTGTCCATCAGTCACATTCACTCCAAGGCCTTCTTTTGCCGTATCTGACTGCAACAATCCCTTGATCTTTGAGAGACTGTCCATTGGCGATCTTGCCGCACAGTGCAAAAGTGTATCTTTCTGTTTGCCAACAGCCCTATTAAACCTGACATTAACACTTCCCTTTAGAAGTTCCTCGAGACACTGGACTGAGCCATAAAGAGTAGCATATCTTAAAAGTACCTGTTCTTTATCCTGGCAGATCGAGGTGACTTCCAGTAAGCGTTTCAGTATGTCAGCATTGGCATGACCTGCTGCTACACTCAGGAGAATGTCTTTATCATATGAACATTCTGTATCCAAAAGGATATTCATAAAATGCAGGACATCAATATCCTTGGCTATGCATTCAGTTTGTAGAATGAAGCCAGATGTTTGGTACAGAAGTTGGGTCAAACATTTAGCGAAAGCCTTATTGTTTTTCTCTTCAGATATCATTTTATCCACAAGTAGCTTTGTTACTCTGATGTTTCCGAACTGAATCGCAAGTGACAGTAGCTGTGTCCAGTCATGTATGTCTCTCCACTGTGTCTTCTCAAACACTGTGTCCACCATGTGTGGATCAGCCTGCGGAACACAACATAGGGCCTTGATGCTGTCAAGAGACGTCTGTGTTCCCTTGCTCAATAGTTTCAAGACTGATTCGTGGTTATTGTGGTATATGTAACAGGTCAGAGCTTCATTTAACAAGGAACTTGGTAGATCAGCCAGATCTTGTTTGAACAGAACTGAATTGGCAAACTGAAGCAACTCTTTCATGATGACAAATGAGAGAAGATGCCCATAGGTAAATAGTTTATCCTCCCGAAAGATGTCTGAAGTTTCACAGATCGTGTCGATCGAATCAGCAGTCACTTCCTCAAAGATCTCTTGGTTGAAGATATTACAATAGCAACTACAACCACCAATGTCTTTTTTAGCAAGCCTCAATGCAATGTTATCATTATTATCCACTATGGAATTAATGAATGTGATGTCGCTAAAACATGGGTGCTCAAGTATTTTAAGTACACCGTCATCCAGAAGAATGTTAATAATCCTTTCAATGAACTCCTCATGTAAGTCACATTCAATGTTGACAAGAGATTCATCTTCATTAGGCGATATGTCTGACCTTGCAACTCTGACAAACTTAACAAGTACATCAACAGAACACTCGTCAAGGAACATTTTCAGATGTGTTTTTGCAGCATCGAGGAACACAAAATCAGAAATTGCTATATGTTCAAATTCAAAGATGTTTTTCCTCTTCTTGAGGTAGGTGCCAGAGAGTTCATTTGCCTTATCCTTGATGCTTCTACAGTTCGGCACACGATCCAATGATACGCATGTGTCACTAAGATCATCAATTAGATTCTTCAATTCCCTAGGTGGGTTGTCGAGCATCTTGGCATCAAGACTTCCTTTCATCAATATAAGCAGGAGAACTAAGTATCCAAGTTGATCATTGTCTTTCAGCATTGAGACATCAGTTGTAAGGAAATCATATGCATAGCCATATGATGTTCCCTTCTTGACTTTCACTCTCTTAGAAAATAGCTCACAGCATCTGGGAAAACCCACACATGTTTTTGTGTCCACTATCTCCTGTATCTCTTCCTTTTTCAAATTTAGTCGCCCACATTGTTTCGAAAATAACTTCGTTTTCTCCTTGGGACGTAGAGCATATTTTCCGTCTAGATCTAACATGGTCATGCGTTTCATTAGCTTGTACTTCGATACACGACATTTACACTTTGAGAAGATGTCAGTTTGTGAAGTCACTATCAAACATATTTGCCCTGACTCAACCGTTGGCCACATAAGGTCAAACAGCTTCTCCCACTCATCAAGTGCTGCTTTGGACAAGTGACTGGTGCCAAACATGTCGTCAATCATCACAATGAATTTCCTCTGGCCCTTTTCAGAGTGGCTTTTGGTTTTCGGAATTAAGTGCCAGTCGAGTGCTGAAGTCAGAACTAGTGGTGTCCTTTTCGATTCTTTAGATAGCTTTGCAAGAAGGTGGACACCAAGTCTAGTTTTACCAGTGCCATGTCTTCCCTTGATAAAGAGAGAACCATTAAAATAGAGTCTCTTCATCATCCTTAAGGCAGATCTTTCTACAAATGTTGATACATGTGATGACATGTCATAGCTCTTTATGAATGCTTTTGTAGATTCTGAAAGTAAGAAGAGTATCATATTATGATACAGCCACACATGCTGCAACAAAATGTAGGTTTATGTACAGAACCAGCATTGATGAAGACTAATAATATCCCATCCCAATAAGTAAGTATGCTTTAGTGTTCAAACCAGATCATAACAGATTGCTGGTGTTGTATCCATGAGTGTATAGAGACATATATTACTCACCTATGATGTTAATCAATGGAGATTCACCTGATGAAAAAAAAAATGATCAATTATATTTGTGTATGGTCAATTGTAAAATTAATCTTTTTGGTCCATCAATATTGCATATATCAGTACTCGTATAGTATGATCAAATTAATATTTACCAATTTAGTAGATTATAGAAACAAATAGGTGTCTCCCCAAGGTTTGTCAGAAATATTGTTTGGTTAATATCCAGCAATATTTGTAGAAATGTCTGTCTGGAAACCAAACTTTATTATCTCCATGTTCAATTTAGCAATGTTTCCTTCTTGACCTGTTTCAGGATTAACTAGAGACGAAACCTTGTAAGAATTCAGGAATAGTGGATTAATCATATCATTCAGAAACAAAGAAACATAAACCATGGAATCCACAACCTTGGACTGGCTTTAAAACACCCAACCATACCACATGTAGCTTGACATCTTCATTGTCCTTTGATAAAATGAGCAAAATCATGCTATATTTATGATAATATCACCGTAAAACTGGTCATTTTAGTGTTTTTTGGAGCAAGTATTACGTACCAGCAATATTTGGTTTTTCCTTAATCTGTTAAAAAAGGAAGCATAGTGTATCGGGTGTACTCTCTACCCTACTACTTTTACAGTCTTGGTAATGTAAGCCTAGCCTACTCTTTACCCTACTACTTTTTACCATCTTGGTAATACAAATCTAGTCTTCTCTCTACCCTACTACATTTTACCGTCTTGGTAACGCAAGCCTAGCCTACTCTCTACCCTATTACTTTTTACTGTCTCGGTAACATAAGCCTAGCCTACTCTCTATAGGTACCCTACTACTTTTTACCATCTTGGTAATGCAAGCCTAGACTACTCTCTACCCTATTACTTTTTACCATCTTGGTAACGCAAGCCTAGCCTACTCTCTACCCTACTACTTTTTACCGTCTTGGTAACGCAAGCCAAGCCTACTCTCTATCTTACTACTTTTTACCATCTTGGTAACGCAAGTCTAGCCCACTCTCTACCCTACTATTTTTTACCATCTCGGTAACGCAAGTCTAGCCCACTCTCTACCCTACTACTTTTTACCATCTCGGTAACGCAAGCCTAGCCTACTCTATACCCTACTACTTTTTACCATCTTGGTAATGCAAGCCTAGACTACTCTCTACCCTACTACATTTTACCATCTTGGTAACGCAAGTCTAGCCCACTCTCTACCCTACTACTTTTTACCATCTCGGTAACGCAAGTCTAGCCCATTCTCTACCCTACTACTTTTTACCATCTTGGTAATGCAAGCCTAGCCTACTCTCTATCCTACTACTTTTTACTGTCTCGGTAACATAAGCCTAGCCTACCCTCTACCGGTACCCTACTACTTTTTACCATCTTGGTAATGCAAGCCTAGACTACTCTCTACCCTACTACTTTTTACCATCTTGGTAACGCAAGCCTAGCCTACTCTCTACCCTACTACTTTTTACCGTCTTGGTAATGCAAGCCTAGCCTACTCTCTATCCTACTACTTTTTACCATCTTGGTAACGCAAGTCTAGCCTACTCTCTACCCTACTACTTTTTACCATCTCGGTAACGCAAGTCTAGCCCACTCTCAACCCTACTACTTTTTACCATCTTGGTAATGCAAGTCTAGCCTACTCTTTACCCTACTACTTTTTACCATCTTGGTAACGCAAGCCTAGCCTACTCTCTACCCTACTACTTTTTACCGTCTCGGTAACATAAGCCCAGCCTACTCTCTACCCTACTACTTTTTACCATCTCGGTAACGCAGGTCTAGCCTACTCTCTACCCTACTACTTTTTACCATCTTAGTAATGCAAGCCTAGACTACTCTCTACCCTACTACTTTTTACCAACTTGGAAATGCAAGCCTAGTCTACTCTCTACCCTACTACTTTTTACCATCTTGGTAATGCAAGCCTAGACTACTCTCTACCCTACTACTTTTTACCATCTTGGTAATGCAAGCCTAGCCTACTCTATACCCTACTACTTTTTACCATCTTGGTAATGCAAGCCTAGCCTACTCTCTATCCTACTACTTTTTACCATCTTGGTAACGCAAGTCTAGCCCACTCTCTACCCTACTACTTTTTACCATCTCGGTACTGCAAGTCTAGACCACTCCCTACCCTACTACTTTTTACCATCTTGGTAATGCAAGCCTAGCCTACTCTCTACCCTACTACTTTTTACCATCTTGGTAATGCAAGTCTAGCCTTCTCTCTACCCTACTACTTTTTACCATCTTGGTAACGCAAGCCCAGCTTACTCTCTACCCTACTACTTTTTACCGTCTCGGTAACGTAAGCCCAGCCTACTCTCTACCCTACTACATTTTACCATCCTGGTAACGCAAGCCTAGCCTACTCTCTACCCTACCACTTTTTACCATCTTGGTAACGCAAGCCTAGCCTACTCTCTACCCTACTACTTTTTACCATCTCGGTAACGTAAGCCGAGCCTACACTCTACCCTACTACATTTTACCGTCTTGGTAACGCAAGCCTAGCCTACTCTCTACCCTATTACTTTTTACCATCTTGGTAACGCAAGCCTAGCCTACTCTCTACCCTACTTCTTTTTACCGTCTCGGTAACGTAAGCCCAGCCTACTCTCTACCCTACTACATTTTACCGTCCTGGTAACGCAAGCCTAGCCTACTCTCTACCCTATTACTTTTTACCATCTTGGTAACGCAAGCCTAGCCTACTCTCTACCCTACTTCTTTTTACCGTCTCGGTAACGTAAGCCGAGCCTTCTCTCTACCCTACTACATTTTACCATCTTGGTAACATAAGCCTAGCCTACTCTCTACCCTATTACTTTTTACCGTCTCGGTAACGCAAGCCTAGCCTACTCTCTACCCTACTTCTTTTTACCGTCTCGGTAACGTAAGCCGAGCCTTCTCTCTACCCTACTACATTTTACCATCTTGGTAACATAAGCCTAGCCTACTCTCTACCCTATTACTTTTTACCGTCTCGGTAACATAAGCCTAGCCTACTCTCTACCGGTACCCTACTACTTTTTACCATCTTGGTAATGCAAGCCTAGCCTACTTTCTATCCTACTACTTTTACCATCTTGGTAATGGAAGCCTAGCCTATTCTCTATCCTACTACTTTTTACAATCTTGGTAACGCAAGTCTAGCCAACTCTCTACCCTACTACTATTTACCATCTTGGTAATGCAAGCCTAGCCTACTTTCTATCGTACTACCTTTTACCATCTTTGTAATGCAAGCCTAGCCTACTCTCTACCCTACTACTTTTTACCATCTTGGTAATACAAGCCTAGCCTACTCTCTATCCTACTACTTTTTACCATCTTGGTAATGCAAGGCTAGCCTACTCTCTACCGTACTACTTTTTACCATCTTGGACATGCAAGCCTAGCCTACTCTCTACCCTACTACTTTTTACCATCTTGGTAATGAAAGCCTAGCCTACTCTCTCACCAGACGCTTTCTTACTACCTTGGTAACTTACTTACTACCTAGCCTACCTACACACCTGACGTTTACCGACTACATTAGCAACTCTGGACTTCCCTACTTGTACACCTGACGTTTACTACTTTGGTAACTACCTCACATTTACCTGGCATCAACTTGAACCTAGCTTCCTCTCTCAACTGATGACCACTTCCATGGTGTAGTGATAGAGCATCTGCCCGGAGAGCGGCAGGTCAGGGGTTTGATCCCCAGCCGTCTCATACCAAAAGACATTAAAAGATGGTTCATGTTGTTACCCTGCTTGGTGTTCGGCATTAGGGGTTAAAACAAGGACTGGTCGCCTCAGAGTTAGTTTACTCTGTCTGGGGTATTCATGTTAAACTGAGGAATGGTATCTCAGTGGACTAGCACTATGAAACTTGTAAAGCAGCCACACACACACATGAATGCACGTCACTGCATCACTGCAATAATCTTGAACGCGATATTTCACCTCACCTTTCATCTCTCCTCTGACCTTTACTTAACACCTTTGTAACTTGGGCCTCGCCTCCTCTCACACCCCACGTTTACTTACCTATTTGGTAACTTGGGCCTTGAACATCTTTAGCTTCGTAAACATTAGCTTTATCAAAGAAGTGTTGCAAAATCGTCACTGCAATAGAATATAAGTTAATGTATTAATTAGATCATATCATTAACTACCTTAGTGTCTTCCACTAACATCAGTGTTCGAAATACCTGCCTGCCCGACCGTCCGAGACGGGTTGATTTCAACTTGGGCTGCTAGATTTTCAAATCCCCCTGCCCGACGGTCAGGTTATATTTCATATGTGAAAATATTCTAAATATTTCCCAATGATAAGCATTAATTCACATGTAAAGATGAATGATAAAATGTAACCAAAAAGAAACCCCGTTAGCTTATCCTGAGAAACATATGATTATAGTGGGCAGGCAGGTTTTGGTCAGGGCTGGCAAGTATTTCAGCTAGCCAGTCCTGTGGTCTGGCTGAAATTTTGGGGAGTTTCATACCCTGCTAACATATTGCATAGTTAGGTTTAATCTGAATTACTCTAATCAAATCATATAACAGATTCACCTTATCAATCCTCAAATAGTTTGGGAACATCATATTATCTATACGCATATGTCTTTGTCTTTCCAAGCCAAGTTGAACTTACCTTGGCCCTGGGGCATCATAGGATTCGGCGGTTGGAGAGAACTTGTTTCTGACTGAAGTTGGTATTTCTGGTATGGAGAACACTCTTGGCCTGTTGAGAACCCATCGGGATACTGATCCCCTTGATAAGTCATTGGAAAAGTTCCGGTCATCTGTGGATGAAGATATGGATGAAACTGCTGAGGCACTGGTGCCTGTGTCCATTCAGTTGACATGTGCTGCTCCCGGTCAACTGGGCCGTCTTGAAAAATATCATTCTTAGCCAGTGTACATGTCCCGTCCAACTGTGTTGGCTCACCTGACACTGAAACTGTGTCAGACGTCACCTTATGCAGGATTTTTTGATGGCCTTGGTAAGGAGGTTGAGCCATAGGTCCCAGTTTGAAGTCAGTAGAACTGTGAAGCTCTGGTCCATCCGCCAATTGGGGGATGCCGGCAGTAGCACTGGGGGTACCGATTTCCCTATCCCCTGTATCCTGCATGTCGGAGGCTGGGCATAGCTTCGGTTTCTTATCACCCGACATGTCACATCAAAACTACACGTCTGCTGACCTTAAATCGTCAATCTGTGAATTTAAACATAAAGTGGGAGTATGTATATTGTGAAAAGGCGGATGTGTTTTCAGCATTTCCGTGACCAGTCACTGGTGGTATTGGTGGTGAAATGTGAAAGTACAGGTATCAGGAAGAAACTAAATGTGAAAGCACTGATGTGATGGAGGATGTAGATGTGGAAGCACTGATGTAAGGGAGGAAGTAGATGTGAAAGCACTGATGTGATGGAGGATGTAGATGTGAACATACTGATGTGAGGGAGGAAGTAGATGTGAAAGCACTGATGTGGAGGAGGAAGTTGATGTGAAAGCACTGATGTTGAGGAGGAAGTAGATGTGTAGGCACTGATGTGATGGAGGATGTAGATGTGAACATACTGATGTGATGGAGGAAGTAGATGTAAAAGCACTGATGTGATGGAGGAAGTTGATGTAAAAGCACTGATGTTGAGGAGGAAGTAGATGTGAAAGCACTGTGGGGGGGAAGTAGATGTGAACATACTGATGTGAGGAAGTAGATGTGAAAGCACTGATGTGGAGGAGGAAGTTGATGTAAAAGCACTGATGTTGAGGAGGAAGTAGATGTGAAAGCACTGATGTGATGGAGGATGTAGATGTGAAAGCACTGTGGGGGAGGAAGTAGATGTGAACATACTGATGCTGAGGAGGAAGTAGATGTGAACATACTGATGTGAGGGAGGAAGTAGATGTGAACATACATGTGTGAGGGAGGATGTAGATGTGAAAACACTGATGTTGAGGAGGAAGTAGATGTGAACATACTGATGTGAGGGAGGAAGTAGATGTGAACATACATATGTGAGGGAGGATGTAGATGTGAAAACACTGTGGTGGAGGAAGTAGATGTGAACATACTGATGTGAGGATGTAGATGTGAAAGCACTGATGTGATGGAGGAAGTAGATGTGAAAGCACTGATGTAAGGGAGGAAGTAGATGTGAAAGCACTGATGTGATGGAAGTAGATGTGAAAGCACTGATGTAAGGGAGGAAGTAGATGTGAAAGCACTGATGTGGAGGAGGATGTAGATGTGAAAGCACTGATGTGAGGGAGGATGTAGATGTGAAAGCACTGATGTGAGGGAGGATGTAGATGTGAAAGCACTGATGTGAGGGAGGATGTAGATGTGAAAGCACTGATGTAAGGGAGGATGTAGATGTGAAAGCACTGATGTGATGGAGGATGTAGATGTGAAAGCACTGATGTGATGGAGAATGTAGATGTAAAAACACTGTGGGGGAGGAAGTAGATGTGAACATACTGATGTGAGGATGTAGATGTGAAAACACTGATGTTGAGGAGGAAGTAGATGTGAACATACTGATGTTAGGGAGGAAGTAGATGTGAAAGCACTTGTCTAAGGGAGAATGTAGATATGAAAGCACTGATGTGAGGAAGGAGATGTGAAAGCACTGATGTTAGGGAGGAAGTAGATGTGAAAGCACTGATGTGATGGAGGATGTAGATGTGAAAGCACTGATGTGATGGAGGATGTAGATGTGAAAGCACTGATGTTGAGGAGGATGTAGATATGAAAGCACTGATGTGAGGGAGGAAGTAGATGTGAAAGCACTGATGTGATGGAGGATGTAGATGTGAAAGCACTGATGTTGAGGAGGATGTAGATATGAAAGCACTGATGTTAGGGAGGAAGTAGATGTGAAAGCACTGATGTGATGGAGGATGTAGATGTGAAAGCACTGATGTTGAGGAGGATGTAGATATGAAAGCACTGATGTGAGGAAGTAGATGTGAACATACTGATGTGAGGGAGGAAGTAGATGTGAAAGCACTGATGTAAGGGGGGATGTAGATGTGAAAGCACTGATGTAAGGGAGGATGTAGATATGAAAGCACTGATGTAAGGGGGGATGTAGATATGAAAGCACTGATGTAAGGGGGATGTAGATATGAAAGCACTTGTCTAAGGGAGGATGTAGATATGAAAGCACTGATGTAAGGGAGGATGTAGATGTGAAAGCACTGATGTAAGGGAGGATGTAGATGTGAAAGCACTGATGTAAGGGGGATGTAGATATGAAAGCACTGATGTAAGGGAGGATGTAGATGTGAAAGCACTGATGTAAGGGAGGATGTAGATATGAAAGCACTGATGTAAGGGAGGATGTAGATGTGAAAGCACTGATGTAAGGGAGAATGTAGATATGAAAGCACTGATGTAAGGGGGGATGTAGATATGAAAGCAGTTGTCTAAGGGAGGATGTAGATATGAAAGCACTGATGTAAGGGGGGATGTAGATATGAAAGCACTGATGTAAGGGAGGATGTAGATATGAAAGCACTTGTCTAAGGGAGGATGTAGATGTGAAAGCACTGATGTGGTGGAGGATGTAGATGTGAAAGCACTGATGTAAGGAGGATGTAGATGTGAAAGCACTGATGTAAGGGGGGATGTAGATGTGAACATACTGATGGTAGGGAGGATGTAGATATGAAAGCACTTGTCTAAGGGAGGATGTAGATATGAAAGCACTGATGTAAGGGGGGATGTAGATGTGAAAGCACTGATGTAAGGGAGGATGTAGATGTGAAGGCACTGATGTAAGGGGGATGTAGATGTGAAAGCACTGATGTAAGGGGGGATGTAGATGTGAAAGCACTGATGTAAGGGAGGATGTAGATATGAAAGCACTGATGTAAGGGGGATGTAGATGTGAAAGCACTGATGTAAGGGGGGATGTAGATGTGAAAGCACTGATGTAAGGGGGATGTAGATGTGAAAGCACTGATGTAAGGGAGGATGTAGATATGAAAACACTGATGTAAGGGAGGATGTAGATGTGAAGGCACTGATGTGGTGGAGGAAGTTGATGTGAAAGCACTGATGTTGAGGAGGAAGTAGATGTGAAAGCACTGATGTTGAGGAGGATGTAGATATGAAAGCACTGATGTGAGGAAGTAGATGTGAACATACTGATGTGAGGGAGGAAGTAGATGTGAAAGCACTGATGTGATGGAGGATGTAGATGTGAACATACTGATGGTAAGGAGGAAGTAGATGTGAAAGCACTGATGTGATGGAGGATGTAGATGTGAACATACTGATGGTAGGGAGGAAGTAGATGTGAAAGCACTTGTCTAAGGGAGAATGTAGATATGAAAGCACTGATGTAAGGGAGGATGTAGATGTGAAAGCACTGATGTAAGGGAGGATGTAGATATGAAAGCACTGATGTAAGGGAGAATGTAGATATGAAAGCACTGATGTAAGGGGGATGTAGATATGAAAGCACTGATGTGAGGAAGTAGATGTGAACATACTGATGTGAGGGAGGAAGTAGATGTGAAAGCACTTGTCTAAGGGAGAATGTAGATATGAAAGCACTGATGTGAGGAAGTAGATGTGAACATACTGATGTGAGGGAGGAAGTAGATGTGAAAGCACTGATGTGATGGAGGATGTAGATGTGAACATACTGATGGTAGGGAGGAAGTAAATGTGAAAGCACTGATGTGATGGAGGATGTAGATGTGAAAGCACTGATGTGATGGAGGATGTAGATGTGAACATACTGATGGTAGGGAGGAAGTAGATGTGAAAGCACTTGTCTAAGGGAGAATGTAGGTATGAAAGCACTGATGTAAGGGAGGATGTAGATGTGAAAGCACTGATGTAAGGGAGGATGTAGATATGAAAGCACTGATGTAAGGGAGAATGTAGATATGAAAGCACTGATGTAAGGGGGATGTAGATATGAAAGCACTGATGTGAGGAAGTAGATGTGAACATACTGATGTGAGGGAGGAAGTAGATGTGAAAGCACTTGTCTAAGGGAGAATGTAGATATGAAAGCACTGATGTGAGGAAGTAGATGTGAACATACTGATGTGAGGGAGGAAGTAGATGTGAAAGCACTTGTCTAAGGGAGGATGTAGATATGAAAGCACTTGTCTAAGGGGGGATGTAGATATGAAAGCACTGATGTAAGGGAGGATGTAGATATGAAAGCACTTGTCTAAGGGAGGATGTAGATGTGAAAGCACTGATGTGGTGGAGGATGTAGATGTGAAAGCACTGATGTAAGGGAGGATGTAGATATGAAAGCACTTGTCTAAGGGAGGATGTAGATATGAAAGCACTGATGTAAGGGGGGATGTAGATGTGAAAGCACTGATGTAAGGGAGGATGTAGATGTGAAGGCACTGATGTAAGGGGGATGTAGATGTGAAAGCACTGATGTAAGGGGGGATGTAGATGTGAAAGCACTGATGTAAGGGAGGATGTAGATATGAAAGCACTGATGTAAGGGGGATGTAGATGTGAAAGCACTGATGTAAGGGGGGATGTAGATGTGAAAGCACTGATGTAAGGGGGATGTAGATGTGAAAGCACTGATGTAAGGGGGATGTAGATGTGAAAGCACTGATGTAAGGGGGGATGTAGATATGGAAGCACTGATGTAAGGGGGATGTAGATGTGAAAGCACTGATGTAAGGGAGGATGTAGATGTGAAGGCACTGATGTAAGGGGGATGTAGATGTGAAAGCACTGATGTAAGGGGGGATGTAGATGTGAAAGCACTGATGTAAGGGAGGATGTAGATATGAAAGCACTGATGTAAGGGGGATGTAGATGTGAAAGCACTGATGTAAGGGAGGATGTAGATATGAAAGCACTGATGTAAGGGGGATGTAGATGTGAAAGCACTGATGTAAGGGAGGATGTAGATATGAAAACACTGATGTAAGGGAGGATGTAGATGTGAAGGCACTGATGTGGTGGAGGAAGTTGATGTGAAAGCACTGATGTTGAGGAGGAAGTAGATGTGAAAGCACTGATGTTGAGGAGGATGTAGATATGAAAGCACTGATGTGAGGAAGTAGATGTGAACATACTGATGTGAGGGAGGAAGTAGATGTGAAAGCACTGATGTGATGGAGGATGTAGATGTGAACATACTGATGGTAAGGAGGAAGTAGATGTGAAAGCACTGATGTGATGGAGGATGTAGATGTGAACATACTGATGG